CCATAAATCCTGAAAACTGAAGTATATCTGCGCTTAGTTAACAGCAATGCAAGAGTTTCCGCACTTGTTGTCCCCGTAGTTATAGGGAAACCTGCTTTCTGCTACTCATGTCTCTGATGACGAAACCGCGACGTATATCGAAACGTCAGGCGAATAAGCATATTGTCCCAGCGATCGAGTCTTCTTCTTCTCAAACCTGCTTTAATTACTTAAGGCGGTTTACTAGACATCTTTAAGCGTGTTCTAATAAACGAAAACCACACAGACGATGCGTGTACGATACCAGACAACAGGAGGAGTGGTTATTAGTCAAATGAGTGTTACATACCTTGGAGGAGTAACGACCCAAACGTCGCAGAGCACGCAGTTCACGCGACTGCCTCGGAATGATTGCTAAAACAAGTAGAGAAAAGCAAAGACGGTTAGGGTTGGTAAGAGTACATAACGCAAAAGGTGGCATATGGAGAGCATGACAGGCATGTATGCGCCAGTAGGGGCAGTAAATGAATGCAGTGAAGTTGTGAGAACAAGGAACAAAAGTATGCAGGTATGTATGATTGGATTTTAGAAAACGAAAAGCTTAAAACGTTAAAATTTCATTAAAAATTGAATAGAATTATAGGCAGGTAGATAATGTTCATACAGATGAAACGATCGATAGAGACTCTAGCAAACAAAAATGTGGGTCCAGGAAGTTACCGTGAACACTAACTGCTACTTTAAATAGGCCTTTCGGGGCCCGATTGTGCTATTTTCGAGCTCAACGAAAATCAGCACTGTCTGGGTGGGCAACGGTCCTGCCGTTTTGTGGCTTATCCCCGTAAGGGGCTGTGGTGGCATTCTATCGAGTACTTTTGACTATCGTGGATCTGAAAGTTAAATAAACGTACCGTGATTGGCCAGAGACAGGTTTCTTTTTCCGGTTGAGTTTGACCCATCGTACTGATGGGAGTCGTGAGATACGGAGTCAGAACAACTGGCAAACTTTTCTTCTACAGCACAGCGCACGTACTTCTCGACCATGTTCTCACGTAGTAAGCTCAACGAACGCCGACAGAGGCGCACGTATTCGGTCCAGGACTCGATTGCCTGTTCGATAATTTCCTCCCTGGTAAATACGCCTGCTCGGCTGGGAAAAACGTGCAGGTAAAAGGCTATTACACATGCATGATCGCACAAAAGCTCATACAAAATTTAAAGTAGTTCTTGTGGGTAGATGCTGAAAGGATTCCCCCTCTTCCAGATCAGATCGTTGGAACAAACTGCAAGATATTAATGATGAGAAAACGAGCAGAGAAGAGGAAGTTAGAAGGGGTAATTGCTTTTTTGCAGTACAAGACCAAGTCTCAGACACTATAAGTCTGCTTACATATATGAGGTTAAGACTGAGGAGACAGTTTTAGGAAATGTTGGAAATCGCTAAAATGCCAAATATTAGTACATCCGGCTAACAGGAACAGTACTTTTAATTGAGACTGCTACCTCGACTATGTAGCGCGTTTAGCACACGTTATAGAATGGCCTCACGACACGCCAGCCACTGCGCTCGAGCTTACTGTGTGAGAGACGAGAGCGAGATTTTTCAAGTTCTCTGATCACAAACCAAACGATTTTTTCGAACTACCACGACGTATTAACCCTCTTGACTTTGAAAGTTTTCAACCGATAGAATAATTCGGTTTACTAACGACTGATTGTTCGTCTGAATTGGCTTGTCTTAATATGGTAAGTACGATACTCTCATTCGTACAAGATCTAGGACCTCTCATTTGTTAAGACCTGACCGCATTGGTTCAGGGAGAAACTACATAAGCCGTGGTGGCTGAGCAGGGAATTGCCTCATCTATGTGTTCCTTGCATGTGGTACAGCATTCAACACACCATAATACTTTAGAAATATCATTTAAATGGTTCACTCAAGGGACATTTATCAGGTAAAGCTGAGAAAAACCTCAAAACTTTCGATGCTGTCTTATGTACATAAACCTTTCGACCGTAGTACCCAATGGGGTCTACCGTGTACACCACTTTAAGGCAGCACAGGAACGAAGAATTGTGTGCGAAGTAGACTATAGTGAGAGTAGACTTTCGCTGCAGCTACCACCCTTTCTCGCCCTCCCCCACCTAGGCCGGTGCAACGACCAAGTCCCGAAGAATGGAGGCGAGAGAAGGCGCAGGTGGCTGGCGTAGCCACAATAGCCCCTAGGGGTGCCGCTACACCTGACTCGGATCCTGCGGAAAGTACCATAAAGACTACATTAAGAAAGAGCCATTGAAGCCCGACTCTTAATCCGCCAGTCGAACATTCCACACAAATACCCATTGGGCTAACCACGTGGCTCGAGTTATCCCGTCAGTTGACAATGTTCCAAGCAAAGCCTTTTAGTGCACTGTGATAGCTTCAAACGTATGAGATTGTTTATAGTAAGGGAAATGCGCTGAACTACGACGGTTCTTAAGCCTCAGCCATTGTCCCAGCCGGTCAGTTAACTGATGCGGGAAAAGGGCACAGCTGCTGAAATGCTAAACACGGCATCTGGGCGCAACACTTACAAGATTCATGGAAAAAAGAGTTGAGCGGCTCACATCTTACGTGTGTGAGTGTCAGAGATCACGTAAAGAAGGGGCCATTGCAATCTAACGCTCAGACTACCAGTCAGCCACTGTACACAAAAACACATTGGGCTAACTGTGAGGTCTGAGTTCCACAGTGAGTCTGCAACCTTCAAAGCCACAGTGCCTAACGCTCGGGGATGGTCTCAGGCTCGGATTATGCGTGCAGCAAAGGAGCCAAATTTAGAAAATAAACCAGTATTCACAGTCGCAGAAAATGAAGGGCCGGTGATTACGAAGCCTTCGAACAACAATACTGTCCCCACGCTGTCCACTGGTCAAAATCTTCGCCTTGAGGTAGCTTAGAGGGTCCATTAATCTGAGATGACGGTTTTTTAATCCAGTGTATATTTTGGCGAATATAGAAACAGCTGAAGTGTACTTTTCCGCAACACTTATCCAACACCAGTTGACTTTGAGACTATAAGTTAGGTAAATCTTCGTACCTTACTGCCAGCGCAGGCCGCACAAACGGAATTTAAAACTAAACGTATAAGTCTGAAGATGGAATAATGTAGGTTAAGAAACTAACAAGATTTTGGGAATCCCTGAGTAAGTAGAAGGATGACAGGCCAGGCCCTAGAAAGTTCACTTAGCAACAAGGAAATAGGTTCCGTGAAAAGGAAACAGTACTACTATGTCGTTTCACAGTATGCATGTTTATTTAACTGGCCATAGTAAAGTACTACGCAGTCAAGTTAAAGACCGGAGGTATAGCAGCAAAGCAGCAGATAACTTTCCCCTTTGTAAGTTCGGGCAACAACTCAAAAACTACAGCTTTTGATTGACGAAACCCCTTCTGTAAAATTATTCTTAATGGGAGGTGGCGAATGTGAATGAAGAGCAAATTAGTAAACATACCTTAGGAAGTGGCAACTGCGTGCAGAATTCACACTCTGAGGATAAGTGGCAGATGAATGTGGTGCACGCTCATCGTCCGACGAGACATCAGAGGAGGAGGAAGAGGTGCTAGACATGTAATCCGATGAGGCGCTATCCCCGTCAGAAGACCAACTCCCAGAATACTCTGCAAGCAGTTCCGCGGGAAAAACTTCGCTCTGTTGCGATGGTGCCAGCTTGGTTTTGGAATTTTCTCGCTCTCCATTTTTGCGCATGTTCTGTGAGGATTTTAAAACAATAACAAATTAATTGACAAAATCCCAAGGAAATAAACTAAATTGACAATATGTTTACTTACAGCGAACTTTAGCTTTATTAGGCCACTTTAAACGCGTTGTAAGCTAGGTGGTACTATAACTAATGGCCACCTGTGAGGCTGCAAACAGTTTGGGATTGAACTCAAGAGTACCTTTCAGGGAGGCAATTACGCATTTCGTTGAATTTTAAAGCTAAACAGATTCTTCCGAAAACTCGCAGTGTTATTTCAGACAGAACATATGGCGTGAGTGCAGGAAAAAATAATTTCTGCAAAAAAATCACTAAGTGATCAACCGCACAGAGTCCATCAGCCAAGACATAAGAGGTCATAGCACGCTCAGAATGACCAGAAACAGTGTAGTGGGTTCACCCTTGAACGGCAAGTGACGTGTTTTAGCGGCCCTTAGTAGGTGTGAATTATTAATACAGTAGTCACCGGTTATTAAGCCCACGGTTAATATGCCCAGCCGCCTATTAAGCCCAAGTCAGCTTGGGACGGAATTTTACATAGCA